AAAAATTTTTCGAGCTTTCCAAAGGTTGTGGTATTTCACTTGGATGGGATAGACCCAGTTGAGTGAGAGTTGTTCCGTGGGAATTCGATCCTTCTGGCGAAGGTTTTTTTTCGGTTACTTAACCCTACTAAATTCCTGTTCGGAACCACTCCCTTTACTATGTGCTATGTAATCAAATCTGCTGAGTAAGGTATCCTACCCTAAACGATTATACTGATTGCTGTGTGCACTTCAAAATTTCAAGGATTCGTTCCGAAAAAAGCATCCTTGATCCTTCCTGTGACTTTTTCATAGGGTAAACGTCACTAGTCATTGAAACACTATGGAGAATTCATCCATCCATCATAATCCAACCACTTAAAATCACAAAACAGCGGAGAAAAGGATATGCCAATAGAAACATAACATCAAGATGCTCCAGTCATTCTGTAGACGAGAACAGCTTCATTATGACGTTGGAGTACTGTATAGTACATGACTTTGAACTTCTCACCTTAACTCTTTCACGGCTTCGATTCATAGAATTTTGAGTTCAGGAAACATGGCTCTTCTTAGGGCATACGCATCAACGTCATCATTGAAATCTGATCGTTCTCGTGCTATCGCTTGTGTTAGTGGCGGAGTTGCTACGGGAACACTCATCGGACCAGGTGAGGGGGCTTTCCATGCGGGTTATGGTATTGAATTCTGGATCAGTTGAGGAGTAAAAATTTGCCGCTGGGGGGATCATGAACTTATATTAATAGTTACAAGATAAGGGTCCACCAAAGCCACATTTTAAGACGAATCTGGGATGGGCGAGGTAGTAGTGATCCAAAATTTCAACAAGGACCATGATCACGGTTCAGTCAACCTCGCTTTGAGGGCACGTAGTGAGAAGGTCTCGCTTCTCTTGGATGGAAGTCAAATTTACATTGGCACCCATTTACTGAGCTTTGAGTTCGGTTTGATAAGAACGGTTTACGAGGTCAATGAAAGGCGTAAGAAGGTTCCTGACATTTAGCCCCGGGATGGGGATGACTTCTACCGGCTACTATATTGAGCTTGTGCCTACCTCCATGTTAGTCTTGGGATTTTTCTCATGAGTTTTCAGCGTTTCAATTGCTTTTCACGCCTCTTGGATCTGATGGAATTTCCATCTTACCATTCTACCAGCTAAATATATACAATGCTCCGGCACTGTTTGCATTGCTGTTGAATATGCTGGGATTTATGCTGATTATGTACGCTTTCGAAGAAAGTTATGATGTTCTTCACTCGGAAGCTGCTAAAGTAAGAGAATTTCTTGGTTTCCTAAAGTAACAGTCATTCAAAGCATGTGAGAATAACTGTACAACCCTCTCACTGTATGGCTCGGAGATCTATCAAATCAGTCTCCCTAGTCTATCATAAACTCGGTAGAGCTGTACGGTGAGTGAGGGGCACTGATAGAGCTGCAATTTCTATATGGAACTGAGCCCTTCACGATCGTAGCCTGAGNTTCAGGAAACGGCCGGTCTGCCTTCTCCTTGCATGATTGCAGTGTTAGTCTGTGTGATTACTAGATTCGTCCAAGTATTTTCGGCGACAACAATTGAAACGTGAGTTTGTAAACTCTGTTTAACGCCTTTGACTTTCATCTGAAGGTAAAGCATGCAGTACTTTCCATGCAGTACTCTTAGTGAGGCTAATTGATGTTCTTGCTTATAAGGGCATTTCACTCCTGTTGGTGTTAATCAGTTGCGTACTGGGATGCTTCCCACGTTTAACCTGTGTATTGTGCCAATGCAATGACTTGCGGTAGCCAACCGACTTTGCTGAGTGCTCCTGAACAAATGCCCCCCACTCGGTGATCCCGAAGAGATGGCGGAATAAAATGGAATTCGTGAGTTTTAATCCGCGATCGGATCTGCGACCCATCCATGTGGTCGTGTCTGGCTATCTGGCAAAGCACCTCAAGGCAAATATCGCTGCTACAATTCGGCTCTTCAAGTCAATTATCCCCGATTATGTGTCCTTGAGGGAATGAAGATCTAGCAAAGAAGTCTGTTGGGGCGATGCACTGGTTCAGTCAAGTAAAAGTCGAAAAAAATTTGGATAGATTTGCTTTCTTCTCGCTACTGTTCGACAGCGCTACTAAAAACTCTATTTGGATTCATTTCAGTTTGGGCTCTCCATTTTCTATGCTAATGTTTTCGTTCAACAAAGAAGAAGCCGTTGCAGCGAACTCAGCCGCACATCTTGCAGCCGGTGTCGTCGGAGTAATACTATATGTTGTATTCATTTTCTTCGACTTATCGAAATGGTAAGTAATTTTACACAAACAATTCCCTTTTCATAAGTGGAACTAGTATGGTAATGCAATGACTCGAGGGAAGCCATTGTGTCGTCATTATCCTATTCACGTGATGGATTTTGTGCGATGGATTTTGGGGGAATGATTCAACTGACTGACTCGGTAGTTAAAAAAATTAGCAGCTGATCGTTCCGAAATTCTCGAACCAAATTCTATGAGTGGAGCTTTTTGAACATAGTTGGCCGTGTAGCTGAGTCTCGACTTTGAGGCAATGGCTATTGTCTCGTCGCGCTCTAGAAGCTAATCGCAAACAAATTTCTCGACCGCCTTTTAATTGTCAACTTCTTAAGGGTACCACCACGTATTTCGACAATTTGCTCTATAAGCATTTATGGTGGTCTCTTCTTATTCACTCTTCCATGGCCATTTCTACCAGGTCACGTAGAACCAGCTGCTAACGGTAGGCTTATTTTTGTTTCATTGAAGCGATAGTTCATAGAGTTCCTTAGAATTTGGAATTAGGGAAAGGTCGAACTAATACATATGAACTTAATGTTCTGCTTTCAGGATCTGACTTTGGTTGCTATACTGAACGATTCAGTTGGTGTGATGGCCTTACTGGCGTATCTAAATGGGTGAGTCAGTTCTATGACATTCAGGACTGAATGTGCTCTATAGGCAACCCGAAAAGCCTACTTTCACTTCAGTCCATCTGCGCGTCAGTACAACGCATGAATAAAATTTAATACAACCGAAATAAATTCTCAGAAATTCAATAAAAAATGTACAGAAATCCAATAAATCATAAGTTCACACACAATTATACTGATTTGACGAGTTCCAGGTATACTATCCATTTTATGTCTCTGTTTTTGGAGTTGCAGCTTCGGTATTGAACATCGCCGTAACTNTATAGACAACCCGAAAGACCTACTTTCACTCCAGTCCATCTGCGCGTCAGTACAACGCATGAATAAAATTTAATACAACCGAAATGAATTCTTAGAAATTCAATAAAAAGTGTACAGAAAGCCAATAACCATAAGTTCAAATTTATACTGATATGACGAGTTCCAGGTATACTATCCATTTTATGTCTCTGTTTTTGGAGTTGCAGCTTCGGTATTGAATATCGCCGTAACTACGCTGTATTCTGAAATAATAGGACCTCGTCGGCAGGTTGGCTATCATGTAGTTTACAGCTCGTGATGATCTAATTACCTGTGTGGCTTTTCTATACCTCGTGAGATGAACTTAACTATTTACCACCCCTCAGTTTTCAAGAATCATCTAATACTATATAGGTTGGGGAAATAGAGCGGAAGCTTTGAGGATTGGCATCTGGAAGCTGCTCATTTCACTCGATAGGTTCCAAGGAACCAAACTTTCGAGTCGCTATAGGATCACTCCTCCGATTGTTGCTGAGTGAAGGGGCTCCGAGAGGGATCTTTCTGTATTTGTAGATGCTCGGAAAAGGTGAAAATTGGCTAGTTACTAGTGAAAGAGTGAAAGACATTAGCAAAGTACATACGTTTGACAAAATAAAAAATGCTTTTTCTTGAAACTTGAATTTCAGGGAACATTTCAAGGGGTATTTCAAATGGCGAGCTCAAATGGAAGACTGTTCGCACCTCTTATTACTAGGTAACTTCAACTTCTTGTAGTTTCCGTTTTCGGTGTGTAGCAATATGCCTAATGCGCGGAGATTTCTAGCCAGTTGTCCTATCATGTCTCTTGAGCATAACGCCTGAAAGTTAGATTGTCTGGGGGAAATTTCATGAAATTTGAAAAAAATCGGTGTGAAACTGGTCAATTGTTAATTTCAGCATGCTCTACACAAAGTATGGTCCAGTAGCCCCATGGTCGCTCGTTATAATCCTGGTTTGCATTATTGTTGTATTGTGGACGGTGTTCCGGCGGAAAATGGTTCCACTGAAAACGAAGGCATCTGCGAATGGTTGCTCTCCATGAGAAGACTCATGGTCAGATGAAAATAGGGCTCGCGGATACTGTGGGCACTGTTGACGTTCTGAACAGAATTCAATCTCAATGTTTATGGGTTGTTGTCAAATATCTACATCTATGTTTTCTGTAGCTTCTTGTAAGCCGAGTGCTTTTTCTCACGAGCAAAAATATATCTTGTTATCAAAAGGAGTCAGAACCGTCCATTACACCTTTGGGTGCTTGTAAAACTTATCACTTTGTGTCATATATGGAGACCTTCGANCTTCGATCATGCTCTATTCGCACTCTGTCTATTTTGCGTCTCTTTGGACTAGAAAACATGTCAACTACTAAGTTGGCAACCAAGTAACTAAGTATTCTTCTTAGTGCTTCAAACTTTGTCTTGAAGAGTATCTACCTATTTGTCAAAGTCATACTTTTACACCGGGAACCGCCGTTGTGGGTATGTGAAGGGTTTTTTATACCTGAATAAATATTTCTTTTCGTTATGGGAGAAAGGGGATTGTACCCATCTGAAACATACGCTGTTACTCAGTGGCCAACCTTATATTATGCTTCTTTGCTATGATATCTCTCCTTCAAACATCGATCTGCAGAATTAAGTGAATAGACTGTAATTTCTCCCATTTTTCTTATATGGATTTCTTCTTTCTTTCGATTTTTTTTCTTCTTATTCTTTCTTTTCTTATATTCTTATCTTTCTCCAACATGTGTGGTGTTAGAGTATAAAATACCCCATTTATTGTTTTCTCGTCCACATTAACTGACAATGATATCTTCGATCCCCACGAAAATACAGAGGCAGGGGACTATTTTGCAGATTACTTTCTGCTTTTATATCAAAAAAATTCTGTTCTACAGTTTTCTAAATACTATTTTTTGATTTCTAACGCTGTGTCCGTAAATCGTAGTTCTCAAATCTGACAGAAAAAAGAAATTAGCGAGGTGGCATTGCAGTGCCTTTTCCGAAACAAGAATCTGGGTCGTCATCGAGCTGAACAATCTAAAGGTTCAGTTCTCGGTGAAAATAGTTTATAAGCTTCAACTAGACCTAATTTCTGGCCTTTAAAGGCACAGTTCACGATAAAAATCATTTCTGAGATCCCATACATGATGAATTGGAGGCCCTCGCGTATACCATATATGGCACTATTAGGTCGGAGAACAGGCCTAGTTAGGGAGTTATAAAGGCTCAAAAATTGGCCCGTGTGTATCCTCGGACGAGTTTCGCCGGCATTGTAGAGGCTGCACCGATCACAAGGAAATCCCTGTAGGAAGTTCAAACAACTCGTCATGGCCCATAGCGACAGAGGAGGACAGTTCTTTACAGTTCTGGCTTGATGTAGTAGTCAGCTTTTGTGCAATGCAATAACTGAGATCTCGTCCGAATATCCCTTCCAAGTTATTTACGTCAACGTAATTTCGTCCAGCCTATATTTTCCCTACTTTTGAGCAGCCATACATTTCTCGAAACGGGCGAATTCTCTCGTTTCCTTCACTACCGATGAGTTGTTCCCAATCTACATATACTTCCGCTTTTCAAATAAAAACTGGTACCTCAANCTCTTTGTGCAATGCAATAACTGAGATCTCGTCCGAATATCCCTTCCAAGTTATTTCCGTCAACGTAATTTCGTCCAGCCTCTATTTTCCCTACTTTTGAGCAGCCATACATTTCTCGAAATCGGCGAATTCTCTCGCTTCCTTCACTACCGATGAGTTGTTCCCAATCTACATATACTTCCGCTTTTCAAATAAAAACTGGTACCTCAAAGTTATCGTGAATTGTGCCACCTCAGAGTGTGCGGCGTGGATCGTTGTGACCTTTTACAATCTGGCATGGTCAGGATACGGTGAAATAAGGGTTCGAAGACCGATTTCATTGCTGTCAACACCCATAGACGGACGTGTTTCGATGGTATTGAGGATTGAACGTTATACATTGAATGCTAAATTCAAAGACTCTCAACAGAAGAAGCGCCTACAGGTGAGCGAGACTGCGGTCACGGACTATTCATCAAACAATCTCACCAACAAAAGCGGAGGTGGTGTAGAGGCAAGTGGCGCACCATCTCACATGCGCCGTCACTTGTTCGAATCCCCGATCAATATACGCGTAGACCAACCAAACGTTTCGTCCCTCCGGGCCGATAATTGGTACCATTGTCTTTTGGGGGGATAAAAGCACTTCCACTGACTTGTACATTGGCTTGTCAGTGGAAGCGGGCCAGTCATTGTATAGGCCACATATGCGCTCATTATGCCACTACGAAACTAACCAAGAAACATTCCATGCCTAGGGGGTTGCCCCATCTCAAGCGAATTTTGTTTACATTTTATAATTGGGAGCTCAGTCGCCTTCTTTTTTATTACTTCATGACACTTAGAGGATAGTCAGGTACGTTTCTTTGTGTTTCTTACTCTCATTTTGTTGTATTTTTTTTCTTTCAAATTCCATTCACTTATTTGAAGTGGTTGAGTTGTTTGTTATTACGTTGTTATATGGGCCCTTGTCCAGATTTCATGTACGTTTTGTGCATGTAATAAATAATAATAATACAATTCTAAATGGAAGTCGAGTTCGGGGGCGCATTCCTCAGACGGGATTGATTGATGTCCAGAGACTTTACACTTTATCTTTTATCTCCCAGTACTTCGATGATTTCTCCTCTCATACTTTAGCGTATCTTTCAAAATCAAGCCATTCTAGCTTGTTGTGATCATTGAGAATTCCCAGCGGCTGCAGAATGGTCCAACTGATAGGCCGAAAGTAGCTCTGTATCGCGGTCTTTGACGAGCGAAAAATACATCAAACATCGAACTTCACGAACGGCATGAATTGATCTATGAGCAGAAACAACATGATGCGTCTCGCGTTCATAACTTAACGTCCAGTGGAAAAACTCTCGCAGCTGCTCAACAGCTGTGTGTCGCTGTTTCACTCTTATACCCCTTCGTATCCCTCTTGTCTCGCTCTTTTCGGAATTAGAGGAGAGTCCCCTGAGAAGATGCCTCTCTAAAAGCACTCCAAAAGTCTTCTGAAGAATTAGCTGGGTTTCGTTTAATGGGACCTCGGGGACCCGAGTCTCATTTGATTCGGAACTGAAATTAAACACTACTTTACTACTCTCTTAGCCCGTTTAATTTGTCGACTAAAGAAGTGTGAACAGATAGAAGATGTTCGGTACTCTTAATAGGATTATACCTAAACCATCATTATGTATTCGTTCAGGGTCGATGTACCCGCTGCTCGGCATAGTCAAATGGTGATGGGAATTTTTCCGAATCAATCCGCTCGACCAACTCCTCTGCTCCTATTCTTTTCATTGTTATAAGAAAAAATGATCGAAAATTCTCATCAGGTAAAGCCTGTTTTTTCTGTGGGAAAGATTCAACGCTTCTTTGCTGATGTTTGTTTTCAATCAAGTAGTGGCTTACTAGTAATCATAAATGAAATGTGTTGTAATCTCAATCACAATAAAGAACAAAAGTGGGATAAGGGTAGGACAGTACCCATTGACTCTCATATTGACTCTCATACTACCGGACCGGCCGCAC